CGCCTGTGGCTGCACCTGTCCTGCCCAAGGCCTCCCGCCCCGTCCACTCTGAGCGCATTGGGCTGCGCACTGGGCGACTCCCACGTTTCTCCCCTTCGAGTTCCTTACTCAGCCCCCAAACCTCCCTGGCGTCTACAGGGAGGAGGGAGCCGTGTCTCAAGGGGTCGGGGCTGGGGGTGCTGAGAAGATGGGAGAAGGAGTGACACCCGGTGTGTCCCGGTCCCAGTCAGGGAAGGGAGGCGACCCCTCCCCGGGGAACTTCATGCTGCATCTCCACCCCTGAGCACCCCAATTCAGGGGGGCAGATCTAAGAGGTCTAAGCCGGCCCCCACCCCCACCCCCACCGCTGAGAGGGCCGCTGGCAGCTGTCCAGGGCAGACAGCTGGCATTGGGCACCGAGGTCGAGGAGGGTGGGGCTGAGGCGCGGGCTCCCGGGGACGGGTCCAGCCAGCAGCTGCGGGCACCAAGCCGGGCACCCAGGCTGTGGGCAGGGCCACCCGCAGCGCTCTCAGAGGTGCCTGGAAAAGTGACTCGTATGGGAGGGTCTCTTCCTCGCGGGGTGAGGGGCCCCAGGTGGCGGTGGGCCCAGCTGAGCGCCTACCCCCCCATTCTTGGGGGGCTCACGGAGCCTCCTCCTGGGACGCACGGGCAGTGGGTGCTCTGACGGGCGGAAGCCCTGCCACCCTGTCGATAGAGGACAAGGACAAGGACATGGCGCTGAGTGTGGGACAGGCGGCAGCGCTTCCTTCGCCGCAGGCTGCACACACGCGTCTTTATATTTAGAGAACGAGGCTGGCCAAGGCCTGTCCACCTTGGAGTCACCATCAGCAGAGCCTGGAGCGCTTCTATTTATACCGCCTCAGGGAGATGCTTCCAAACTTCCTGGGGTTTGGATCTGCCTGTGGGAAGGTGGAGTGGGGGTCACAGGAGGTCAGGCGGGAGCCGCCTGCCTCACATTCTCCCCCCCTCACCACCGCCCCCCCAGGACAAGGACAGTCCTAACCTTGCTGTGGAACACAAGCAGAAGCAATATTCGGTGATGAACTCAGTGGCGTGCTTTTGGGGGATACATCAGCGATGGGGCGCAGGCCAGAACGGAATGGTTCATTTTTGTCAAGTGCCTACGTGTTCCCAAAATAGTCGCCATTCCCATTGGGGAACGGAGCCGGCAGCTGGGACAGGTGTGGGCCCTCCGGGATATAAAACACCCCGAGGGCGGCGTTTCCTAAAAATGACCCGTCAACTCGAGAACGAGGAGTGTGGTTAGTGCAAAGGGTCGTCAGTTCAAAGCTACGATGGTTTCATATTTAGCCTTTAAAAAAACATGTTTATTTATTTGGGTCCTATTTCTCTCTCTCTTTTTAAATAGAAAAGATTGTTTATTTTTTAAAAAAATATATATTTTTTAATTGATTTCAGAGAGGGAGAGAGAGAGAAACATCAATGATGAGAGAATCATGAGCAGCTGCTTCCTGCACGCCCCCTACTGGGGATGGAGCCCACAACCCCAGGCATGTGCCCTGACCACAGTGGAACCCAGGACCCTTCAGTCCCCAGGCTGACGCTCTATCCACTGAGCTAACCAGCTAGGTCTCTCTTTGTTGCTTGATGAGTCTGGCTAAAGGGCCATCAATCTCGAACTCTTCAAAGAACCAGCTCTTGGTTTCATTGATCTTTTGTATTGTATTTATTTTTTAGCCTCTATGCCATTTATTTCTGCTCTGATCTTTGTTATGTCCTTCCTCCTACTTACTCTGGTCTTTTCTGGTTGTTCTCTTTCTAATTCTGTAAGTTGTAGGGCTAGTTTATTAAAATTTTTTCTTGCTTCTTGAAGAAGGCCTGTCTTGCTATGAACTACCCTCAGGACTGCTTTCACTGTGTCCCATAGACTTTGGGTTGTTGTATGCTCATTTTCATTTGTTCCCAGGAGGTTTTTTAAAAATTTATTTCTTGATCTCATTGGTAACCCATTCATTGTTTAATAACATGATCTTTAGCCTCCGGGTGTTTGAACGTTTTTGTTTTTACTGTAGGGGATTTCTAATTTCAGGCCACTGTGATCCAAGAAGATGCTTGATACGATTTCAATCTTCTTGAACTTGTAGAGACTTGTTTTGTGTCCTAACATGTGGTCTACTTTGAGAATATTTTAAAATTGATTTGAGAGAGAGAGGAAGAGAGAGAAACCTAGATTTGTTGTTCCACTTGTGTTGGCATTCACTGGTTGACTCCCTGACCGGGGATGGAACCCACAACCTTGGCACATCGAGACGATGCTCTAACCAACTGAGCTACCGGGCCAGGGTTCACAGTTAGCCTTTCCAATGATTTTGGAGGACGATGAATAATGGACAGACCCACATTTCATTTTTAATACTTGTGTCCTGCTGTGTCATGGGTAGTGGAGATACTAGGAAAAAAAGCGGGGGGGATAGCTTCAATTTTGGTAGGAAGAAACGTGCTGTAATTCACTAAATACCTAATAACTTGTTGACATTTTAAACGGGAATGGAGTTAGTATTTTCCAAAACTCTTGCTCAAGGCAACTCCTCTCTCTCCTTAGCAAGCTTTTCTTTTTTAAAAAATCTTTATTGTTGAAAGTATTACATGTGTCACCTTTCCCCCCCATTGCCCTCTCTCTCCCCCGCTCCCCCGAAACAGCAAGCTTTGCTAAGCTCGGAGTCCACTAAATACACACTGCAGGCACTTAATACACAACTCTCAGCTAAGAAGCCTTCTGGGCCAGCAACCCCGGGAAGACGGGGCCTAAGACCACAGCTCATGCGCTCGGCCACAGAGGGGGCCGGCTTAGCCTCTGCCGGGCCACCGAGCGGCTGCTCAGTCCCATTCGGGTCTTGTTGGACTCTTGGCTGAGGGACAGAGGCAGGAGCAGGCGGGAAGCCACCTCCATCCGTGCTCGCCCTGGGAGCACAGTGCTGTGCTCCCGCCGAGTGAGTGGCAGGGCCCAGAGCCTTGAAGAGTCCACACCACGTCGGCCGGGCGCTGGGCTGAGCGCCTGCTTGTCTGCAGCCTCAGCTGCAAGCTGTCCATTGCTCACACCTCCCTTCTCTCAGCCTCGTCCCTCCAACTCCTGAGAGAGAGAGAGAGCGCGCTGTTCAATAGTAGTGCTGCCATAGGGTAGTGTCCTGCAGTCATTAAAAAAATGTCTCTTGAAGAAACCTGAAGCCATGGCTGCTCAAAGGAGATGAAGTTGGCCCTTGGAGGGGGAGTGAGAAGCCTCAGGTCTCACAATGGCTGGTGGCCGCCAAAGGCCACGGCACATAAGGACACACAGCGCGTCTGTGGGATTAAACTTCCATGGGGGGTGGGGTGGAGGGGCAGAGGCCGTGGGACAGGAAACACCATCCACAAAGGCCCCTGGGAAGGAGTGATCAGGAAAAAGGCTGAGAAACACAGCGGGTCCTCGAATGGCATGGTTTCCTGCCACCTTTCGCTGCAGCGCTGATGAGGTGCTGTAGGAGCTTAACTCTCATCTACAGCCAGGAGCCCTGTGGGAAGACTGGTTTCATTGGCCACCGTTCCGCTGCAGATGGAAGAACCCACGGACGGTGAGGGGGAGCTACTGAGCCAGGTTAGGGACACGCAGAAATGCTCACAACATCTCCCAGCAAGAGAAGTCACAGCGTATGGCAGATGCACAGCCCCCAACAGCCTAAGGTGTATTTCAAAATGGCCACGGGAGTTACTTCAGGTGGAGTCACAGGTTTACTTTCCCCCAGTCTCTGTGTCACCCACTTCTGCTCTGGTCTCTATTAGCTCCTCCCCCGCTGGGTCAGGTGACTGAAGCCCATGGGAAACCCCGAGCCACACGTGTTTTACGCCCTAAAACACTCTCCTGAACACTCTTATGTATGCAGTTTAGAGCTTTCCCAACGAGCCCATCAGGTACCACGCTCACACGAATGAGGCCCACTCTGCTTTGTCATTTTGTCTAACACTTTATTGACGAGTCAGCAACACGTGACCCTTATCTTACTAACATCCCAACAGCCTAACAGGACAGACACCGGCCCGAGTCC